GGAGGGCCTAAGATGTCCCCAGAGAGGTGGCGCCTGACACCCAACCTGACATATAGACACAGACATACAGGCACACACAGATACAAACATCCATTCCCACCCTCATGCTCTCAATATGATATACTTGATTCAGCATCAGTAGCTATAACTGATTTTGCACATAATGCGTGCAAGATCAAATTTTGGCCACATGTCAGAAGACATCCTCGTCACCTTGACTCCCAGGGTCACACAGGCGACGCGGAGTGATTCAGAATAAGTTTCCTATAATTATCAGATTTTTAAAAATAATAATTCTCCTTTAGTTTCGCAGTTTCTAATCATAAGTATTTTAATTATTGAATTATTGTAATATGCAAATATTACAAATATTTTGAAAATATCCACCCTGGCAGGAGTTTTTAAAAATCTCCGTTTTCAGTTACCGAAAACGCCGTTTACATGTGGACGAAAGGCGCAAACGCATAGAAAAATCTGCGTTTTCAAAAATACCCGGGTACGTGTGGACGTAGCCTAAGTGCCAAACATTAGGCAGATGGCAGAGGTTGTGATACGGTTGTTGACAATCTTCTTGTCAATGCTCAACATGAATGTCTCAGCAGCAAAGCAGAAGGAACCTGAGAATTTAAAAAAATCAACAACAAAAACTAATGAAGACCTTTAATGACAAGGGTTTGAATGTCTTACTGGCTCAACCTATATGGTTGTGTTAGTCAGTGTATTAGTGTGGAAGCAACAGCACATGAAACTAAACAAGCCAAGAGTATCACCTTGATGCATGCTCAATGATCCAGGTAAGTAAATCCCAAAAAGTTGATTCTGTTCATCAGCTTAGTCTATTCAATGTATACATCTGTCCCAAGTCTTCGTATTTCTTCAACAACGGTTTGAATGGTAGATGTTGGCAGAAGATGCTGTCCCTGTGCTTTAATGTAAAACATACTGAAATTAGACCCATCCATACCAGGGTCTTCTGTAAATGATACACTGGCACCTTACTGTATGGTGGCACTTGTGGTTGGACTCTTTGTTTGAACCACAAATCACGTTTTCTAAACGTTTGTGTTTTCTACACATATGAGAGGCAAATGTAGATTTTACAGAGAACACACTTTGGCATCCTCTCACTGGGCAACTCACATGCTGTTCACAACTAAAGCGTGAAGTTTTCTTTGTGTGCACTCAAATGGAGTCATGTCAACTAGCGCCACCTGTGGCCAAGTGCCATAGTCTACAGCCAGGTTAACTTGTGACACAGATCTGCACCACGTTTGAATTCCTGTTTCATGCTCAGTGTATTTGTAACTTTCAATGTTGTCTGTTTGTGCATCTTGCAAATAAACCTTTGAACCTAATGAAATGATAGTATGTGTTTAATTTTGGCCTGCATCAGTGGGAAATGCCAAGTTATATACGTAAAGTTATAGAAATCAGCACTCCCGTTGTTCATCATGATCTTAGTAACTTTTTTCCATAACAAAGAAATAGGTCTTGAACAAATATATGACACATGAATATTTCACTAGTGTTGTAACGTCACATCCTGTTAGCTTTTCTCTGGAAATTATCATTTTATAATTCATAATGCCTCATAATGGTAATTCATCAACATGGCTGGAGAGAGTTGATTCAGTTAAAGGACTAGATGTTACAGTCCCTGATAATGCATTGCTTTAGATGGAGAGACTCTTGAGGGATGGCTGTTATGAGGAAAGGCAGCCCAGAAACTTTGTCAGCAGCACGCATCGTTGTGTGCCTCAACTTTCGGTCTTTTACCCAGGCTAATCTGCCATTTTCCTTCCTTGGTTAGGTTTAGGAATTAGAGATCGATCTAGATTACCATTTTAAATTTGTGACACAACATTAGTTGTGGACCTTGGATTCATCAGGTGTTTCGGCCGTTATCACCAGACACCCTCATCCAAGGAGGCCCTGCCAGGGTTGATCAGGCCCTGGAGTGTGTCGCCGGTTTATGTTAAAATTTTTCTCTTCTTCTTTCTTCTGTTTAGTTTCCTACATTTTCTTTCTATATGTTCACTGCAACTGAGAAAAAATAATAATTACCTCTTTAGCATTTACAGAGCCTAACTTCTTCAAAGGGATAGAAAATGTGATAGAGAGAAGTAAGACAAAAGGGGACAAGATAGGAGAGAGAAGAGCCGGAAGGGGGGCACCCGGTCTGGCTTCCCACACCACCTTATATACAGTCTGTTTAAGTGTGATTAATTTAACAAACACTTGCAGCAGCATCTGCAGCAGTTACACAGTGATTAGTAATAAACAGAGCCAGTGTGATTGAGTCGAGAGAGTGAGTGGATTTAAGAAAGTGGGTGACTCAAGTGTGTCAGTTGGTTTGTTTTTGTTTTTTTATTGTTGAGATGAGCTAGAATTTTTTTTGTTTGTTTGTTTTAAAGCTAATTTAATTTTCAAAACTTGCACATGATCTTCAATTTGTAGAAGATCTACTGACTATCACATAGCAGCTGGAGCAGTCTCAAATGGAGTTCAGTCCACTACTGCCACCTGTGGCCAAGTGCTATAACCCACTACTAGATTGACTTGTGACACATCTGCAGTAGAGGCTGAGGGGCTCCACTTACACCTGGAGCATTCAAACCTACCCACAAACATGTTGAAAGGCGCAATGTGGATTGTCAAGACTGAAACCAGTCATTAAGCAAAGACAACAGGGATCTTTTTTCTGCTTATTTAGTATGCACAACATTTGTAGTCGCCTTCTGCACAGGGGAAGTCCCAGCAACACTGTGTACAGCCCTGTGTACAGTCCCAGCAACACTCCAGCACGTCTTGGTTGGTTGTAGGACTAGCCTTACTCAGGGCAGATACACATAGAGACACAATCAGGTCCTCAGGTGTCTAGCCGAGAAAGCTGAGTGCAAGAGAAAATCCATTGATGCTCAACCTTTTGCGAACCAAGAGAAGTGTCAGTTTTCATCAGCATTTGTCCTGGAGGGGGACAAGCCGAGGACTAGCCCTTCCCCCCTGGACCTGGGCCCGCTGAAGGTCGCCAGGGATTGGCAGATGCGAGTGGACTTGGATCAGACGCTAATCTTTTCCACAGAGATCGTAACAACTACTCTGCCACCAGACCTCGTCCTTTGGGCTTACTAAAAACTTGCCACTGAGCTGAAATCTTTGGGAAATCTTTTTGTAGCCTAAGCCTGCTTTAAATTTCTCAATAACTTTATCCCTGACCTGTCAGGTGTCTAAATCCAATCGAGAATCTGTGGCAAGATCTGAAAACTGCTGTTCACAAACGCTGTCCATCTAATCTGACTGAGCTGGAGCTGTTTTACAAAGAAGAATGGGCAAAGATTTCAGTCTGTAGATGTGCAAAGCTGGTAGAGACAGACCCTAAAAGACTGGCAGCTGGAACTGCAGCAAAAGGTGGTCTACAAAGTATTGACTCAGGGGGCTGAATAATTACGCACACCCCACTTTGCAGTTATTTATTTGTAAAAAATGTTTGGAATCATGTCTGATTGTCGTTCCACTTCTCACGTGTGCACCACTTTGTGTTGGTCTTTCACGTGGAATTCCAATGAAACTGATTCATGTTTGTGGCTGTAATGTGACAAAATGTGGAAAAGTTCAAGGGGGCCGAATACTTTTGCAAGCCACTGTATATAACAGTGATGTACTGTTAGTTGCTAATTGTGAGAGGGAAGGATTCTTTAAAAAATATAATAAATGTTCTTCCTAATATTATTATTCTTCCTGTTAATAATAATAATAATAATAATAATAATAATAATAATAATAATAATAATAATAATAGATTAATATTAACAAAATAAAACACAATGAAATTATTGACAAGTTGTACATAAATGATCAAACTCAATAATAAATATTTGGCTGAAAATGTTTCCCATCAGTGTTGTATGGATCAATATTGTTTAAGGCAGAGGGCATTTTAAATACTTTAGATTCAGTTAGCTGTCCACCATCAGATTTCTACAAAATGATACATATGTATCATTTGTGCATGTCAGGACCACATACCTTTGGGGAAAAAAAGATTATTTTAAATATAACAATAATAAATAAAATCACATCTCCATATTGACATGATATATACATTCATTTCATTCATTTCATTTATTTGTTCATTTTCAGGCACAACAAATACCTATATTGAACATAAAATGCACAAAACAAAAAACAAAAATTGCCTGAAAAAGGAGTGGGACGAAGAAAACTTATTAAATCCCACCCCTATACTCACTCATCAACAAAAAAAACAAACTTCCCGCAGCTACGCCCATCATTGCATACAGACCCATCAACAGCCCCGGGCACATACAAGCATCTAAACGGCAGCTCGCACACAACAATTAGAGCCTTCATAACTGAATACAGAATATATAAATTATAAATTGCATTACCACAGGTAACAGGCAGTAATAACTACAAGTAACAAACACACATACATATACATACATATATATCTACACACACATGTACATATATGTACATACATACGCACACTTTTTTTTTTTTTGGAATCCATACCAGCAATACAAAGTAAGTAACAATCAAAGCCACAAAACCTATGTTGTTATCACAATAAACAAACGGGGATTTCTCTAAGCGTGTGGATCATAATCACTGATAGTCTGGTCTAATGTGCAGCTTTGTTTAGAATTGTGCAAAGCTTGTTTCTGAAACCTCAATACAATTCGTGCACAGCTGCTTCAAATTATTTAGTGTTTCACGAAGCATTACTTTCACTAGACTATCACTAGTCCTAAGTATTTTGATTGCTTAACTACAGACACTTCAAGTCTCTTATTATGATGTAAATTAAAGACACTTGGAGGTTAACAATGACTATTAAGTTGTAAAAGCTTTATTTGTAATGCGACGTAATCGTTGTGTCCGCCTTTGCTGTTGTTTGGTTGGTTTGACGAGAACGTATCCGTGATCTGATTGGCTTTCAATGACACAACACAGTTCCGCAAATCTAGTCTGTTTGTGTTTTGACTGTTTTTTGCAGAGAGCTTCAGAGCACCACGAAGTGTATACACAAGGAGACTGTCAGCGTTCAGCTCCTCGGTTCGTAACTATAGCTGCTAGCTATAAAACATAATGCTTTATTGAAACATGACAAATGTATCTCCAGCTGTTGGGTTTTAACTCTATTCTTCTAACACTATGAGGGACTTTTATCAGCTAATGCTAGCTAGCTATGTTAGCCGTATGTTATCTAGTGAGATAACTTTCGCGTTAGCCAATGGCTGTGTTGTGTTCCCTTGACAGCTGTTACAATTGTCACCCGAATGGGTCCGCTAGCTGCTAGTGGTACTAGCTCGCAGAATAAGAGTTTCGTGTATGTAACGGAGGCTAGGAATGTCAAGTTTCTCAGGCATGTTGTTTACTGTATGTAGCTTTGTCTCTACCGCCACACAAGCTTTTGCCCTGTGTGATTATAACGGTTTTCGACTGGTCTTATTAGCCCCGGTAGTTGCTTGGGAATGCTTCCAAAGACAAAAGAAGGATAACTGAATGTGGTTTACTAAGTGGCTAAATGCATAAAGACCCTGTGTCATTAGTTTATAGGGATGCTTCATTTCGCCAAGCCAGTTTTTGTTAGTGTCGAGGCACTGGTATTAGCATGTGTAGTATACATAGTTTGCAGTCTAAATAAATTGTCAGACCTAGAATGTATTTGTCTTACTAGGGGCATAGCAAACAGCTGCTTCAGTATTATCGTGGCATATAGCTGCCCCGGCTCTCTGGTTCAAATTCATGGTGGCAGCTGTATCCATTGGCCCCATGTCCAGCTCCTCAGATCCTGTTGGTGCTCAGAGGTTAGCTTTGAAATATAAATCCACAGCTGGAATTATATAATCACAGAATATAATTCTGTGGAATAATTCCACAGCTTGCTTAGGCTGTGTGGAAGAGTGTGTGTCCTATTTTTTTACCAGCTGATTTGGACTATCCACGGGAATTCATGGTAGGATCTATAAATGTTAGCTGTCTTATAAAGACCATGTTATACCTTTTGCCGAAGTGTACTAGGTATAAGACAACACCTTAAAATCCTCATACTTCTGTTCTGTAAGTTTACTGTCAGAACACTGTCAGATCTTACTGTCTGTGCTCTCCCAGAAGATCAGATTTGGCAACAACCCCATTTATACTCTGGGTTTTATTGGTGTTTTTATCTTAGATTCACTGATTACAGGTTTTTTAACTAATACGTCTGTGATGCTTGGTGTATTTACTTTAGTCGCACTGAATTTCTGCTTTCAGTGCTGGATTTTCCAACTACCCTTCTGAAAGAATTTGTTTTTTTATTGTTATAAGCTGAAGCCTGTTTTAGTTTTCTGTGTGAACAAAATGCGGTAATTTTGCAAAACATGCCATAAAACTAAGGCCACTAAAGGTAGCAGTACCAGGAATTTATTCCACTGCAAAATTAAGACTGTTTTAAACTCCACATGTCAGCGTCTCTCCACACACCAAAAAAAAAAGGTTTGAGGTCATCAATTTTTTTTATATGTTGGAAGCACAAAAGAGCACCCTTTTAATTTCTAGTCTTGACCACAGAGAGAGACATACTGTGACAGTATTGTTGTTTGTGAGAAACCTCTTTGTGCAACTGATGGTTAAAAAAAATGGCTAAAATAAAACATTTCTATTCATTCTGATTTTTTTGTAATATACATGGAACGGTCGATTTGAGTAGTAAACCAGTGCGATTTTAGGCACTATATGCTCACAAATAACATTTGTTTTCTGAGGTTTTTTAAACATATTGCGATATATAGTGTATGGTGATGTAGCCAAAAAATATTGCGATATTAGATTCTCCTCATATCGCACAGCCCTACCTCCTGGTAGGACATGTGGAACACCTTACCTAGAAGGTGACAGCCTTAGCCTTTGTTGGTGATGACAGTTTCAAGACACCTCCTGTCTGGAGAAACTTGCATTGCTCAAGTGTGATTTTGGCATTTAGACAGTCTTCAAATTCCAAAGGTTCCTTGGGCCCCGTCTATGATCTCTCAGCTTCTTTCCATAGATTTGGATTCAGATTCAGGTCTGGGCATTCTAGCAGCTTTATTTCTTTCTCTGAAACCAATTGAGAGTTTCCTTGACTGTGTGTTTGGGATCATTGTCTTTCTTAAACTTTCACCCTTATTTTATCTTTATCATCCTGGTAAATGGCTGCAGAATTTTATCAAGAATGTCTTGGCACATTTTTCCATTCATCCTTACTTCAGTTGTATGAATCGTGCCAGTGATGTATGCTTAAAAACAGCTGCACCTCCCTTTTTTCATGTGTTCAAAACTTGAAAAATGATGTTTTCACATTATCACACTAATTTATGAACAACTATAGTTTGATTTCTTTGCATGTATGGATTGGATGGGTTGTTAACAACATCTTGTAAGAATTTCATGTCAATAGCACCTTTGAAATTGGTGACGGGTTCAATACTTATTTTACCCGCTGTATGTCCAGGTACTAGTTTACCATTAACTTGTTGTAGTATATGAGCTGGTATACTTACTATATCATTTCATATACTACTTCCTCTCTGTGTTAAGTCCCAGGGATGCATGTCTACATTAGCCCGGGTGGTCTTAGAAACTCTTGCAGTGTCATTTGTTCATCAATAGGGGTTCTCTGCAGTCAATACTGCTTTGAAAAGATCTTGGAGGGTGTGGTATGCCTTTATCTCCTTGAATCATAAGCTGACAGTAAAAAGTGGTTCTTGTCTATATGACAATTCAAGTTTGAATTTAGCAGAAAAATAGCTTGGTTGGTGTTGTTGCCTAACAACAAGAATGTTTATAGTTTAAGCCATGTAATTTCCCTCCACCATAATGTGTCGCATGTATAAAAATAATGATCATAATTAAAAAGCTTTAATCTTGAAAATAAAATGGTTTGGTACTGAATGAGTGGCGCAATGATCATCAACTTTTAAACTATTTATAACACCTGCATGAAATGTAATGCATAAATAATACAACAAAATGCTGTGCTCAGTTCCAAACCAAATGTAACAGGAAACAGGAAAACATTTGCACATGTCGAGGAGCGTGTCAGGTTACATTTCACTGTGTGTTATACTTGTATAACTATGCATGTGACAAATAAAGAACCTTGAACCTTGAAAAACACTGATGTTGTTGTTTTTTTGTTTTTGATCCTAATAAAGTGTAGTTTTAGAAAACACTCATTTCTGGTTGGGGAAATTTCAATTGGCTGTCGCAGCCATCAGTCTACTGTTCACCCAAACATTGTAGACATTTAAAAGTACATTTGCATGATTCACTGTCTTTTTATTGTTTTGGTAGGATAAATAAGCCCAGTGCCTTTTGGCTATGGTTTCATTGTTGTTGTTACTAGACTTTGTTGTTCTGATCTTTGTAATTTGAAAATGCTTTTTGAACTAAGCAAAGAAGCAAAAAACTAACCTTGGATATTTATTTAGGAATCAATATTCTACAATCAACATTCTGCTGGATTTTACCATCTAGATTAAAAACCTAAATCTACTTCCTTTTTTCGGACATTGTAACTGCTTATTTCATGTCAGTGTATACATTCAACATTCGGTTTGTTTGTCAGGTCAAGTTAGTCCAGCTTGCTAAATGTCTCTTTATCTTTTCAGAATATCAAACCCAAAGGACAAAATGGCCTCGGACTCTCCGCGCAGACCGAGTCGTTGTGCTGGGGGGGTTTTGGTGCGAGCACAAGCTGCTACGTAAGGACACATCTTTGTCATCTATGAGTAAACACATGCACTGTATTTCTAAATACCAAGGATAAGAAATAGTGTACTTGATGAAATTAGATGTTCGATGATTCATGTGATCTCATGAATTGAGCCTCCTTTAAGTGTTTTTACACAGTAGTGTACAAAATCTTAAGCCACCCCTCATTACTTGATATTTTGCTATTAAAATGGATGCAGCGATTTATTGAAACATGTGCAAACATATATGGCACAAACAAACTTTGTACAATTCTCACAAGCTTGATAGTCAATATTTGGTATGAGCACTTTTATTTAAGGATATTCCAAAGCACTTCTTTGTTCACTCACTCCTTTTGTTTCTTTTTCTGACAAGATGATCCAACATTACTTCAATTATTTTGAGGTCCAGCCAAGATTTGCTACACCACTGGTCAAATGCAGTTCCAAACTATGGAAGAGCCTCCATTGTGTTTTACAGATGACTGTGATACACTGTTCTTTGCCTTTAACGTATCAAGAATTTTAAATTTGGATTATTCACTCAGTAGTTGATTTAACTAACACATCTGTGTTGCTGTTGATTTTTGGTCCAGTTTTTGTGTAGTCTGGCATACTCCAGCCTTTTCCATTTTTTCAAGTACACACTCCGCATCATGCCGAGATCATGTTTTCAGCTCAAAGCTCTTTGGAAAAACACTGAAAGACCCCTAGAAAGACGGGCGAACTACTGCTCAAGAACACTTCAAAAATTACAAAAAGTCCAGCTCTTTGAAAGCAAAATGTAAAGAAATGAGGGGCTATTCTTGACTCTACATCCATTTGATACTTACTTTTGCTTTGCTCATGTAAAACCCTATGCATTAATGTTAGGGTGTAATTCCAATGCATTCTGCACATTTGTTATGAGCTTTTTGTTTTTACAGGGAGCAGTCTTACATGGAGAGTGTTGTGACCTTTCTGCAGGATGTAGTACCTCAGGTAACTTTCCTCTTTTTTTTTTTTAAATTCAGTTTTTTTACTGAATAGACAACATTATTAGCAATTAGCATACAACATTGAAAAACCACACTGAAAACAAATTCTAAATATTTTCACAGCCTGTCCCTAATTTTATCAGTTTTATTGATACTCGATGTACATTGGTTAGAAACCAGAAAGGCAACAGGGAGGGCCTGGTTGAAAATGCAAATGCAAATACAGTGTTGCAGATAGGTCTTGCATCCTTTAGTATTATTCCTCAGTGTTGTTCATGTTTTTGCTGCGTCTGTTTTGCCTTCTTTCTTTCTACAGGCATATACTGGGGCTCCACCCACTGATGAGAAAGAGAAAATCATTTGGGTTCGATTTGAGAAAGCTGACATTAATGGTATGAAGTCATGACTCAAATATTGAAAAGCTGTAGTCATCCTCTGTGTATACACTGATCTACTAATTTAAAACTTTAAAAAGTCTATAATACGTTATGCCTTTCCAACAATGTATTGTAACAGTGTTACAAGTTTTAACTTTACTGTTATTTACTATTGCTCATTACACATTTTCTGTTTGCAAAGACACTGCACGCAACCCAGAGTTTATGGAGATGCACAGTGGCACTACTGACCCTCCACTCTGCCTCATGATTGGCTATACTGATGGAATGCAGATCTGGAGCGTATCTGTAAGTTGCATCTAATTGGTCCTTTTTTTTGCTTGATCCTTTTCTGCCTTAACTTTTCAGAGCTGTGATCACTTCAGTTTGTTTTCAGTGTAAGCAGTTAGTTCACTGCTGAGCAAGTTTTTTAAACCTTTCTAAAGAAAGTGAAGCTTTTCAAATTACAAAGTGTAGATAACTCATCTATAAATATGTCTGTGTGATTTTCTGTGACTCATTAGTGATACTCCTTTTTTGAGAGTGTCATCAACCAATATTGCCAATCTGAAAGATTAAAATAAACACAGCTTTTACTATGTCAGCAGTCAGCATTTGTTAAGCTTGTGCAGTTGGAGGAAATAAACTGTGCACTTACTGGGCTCAGAACTCAAATGTTGGCTACGAACATTTGCTACTCTTGGACCTGACAGGATCTGACTAAAAAATGCATATTAATTTGTAACTTGCTATAGCCAAAATACTTGCTGGCAGTTCATTGAATGAAATGCTGGCTTGTTAAAATTTAAGTACCAATGGTGTCCATTTATTCTACTGTAATGTGCTGTCATGATAGCTGTGTTGGAAAACGTTTCTTTTTTTTCCAGAGTGTTTGCTAGTGGTTATCTAGTAATTAGTTATTAGTTATCTTGCTAATTGAATTAATTGAAATTCTCAAGAAAATGTTTTGAATATTTTATATCTTTATGGTTGAAAAAATAATGAAACTGTACACAACTATAGTCACATACTTTGAAATGCACACAAGAAGCAAGAATGAAATAAAATCACTCAAGTAGGTTCGAAGATATTAAGAAGTAATATTGCAAATGAAGCTTACTAAAATAAACTTAAACAACTCAATATGTTCTTATGAACCCCTGTGGCTAACCTGGATCTAACCTAATCATCACTTCATGCTTTAAAGTCAAGAATGTGTTGCAGTGTAGGTCCGTGTCCACTAGCCGGCGATGTTGACCATGTTATGGGTTCTTTGATACAGATAGCAGCACTTCTTACAGCTCGTATCATGTCTGAGTACTATGTTAGGCATGTCCACCTTTTTGTGAGTAAAGGCTACGGAGAAAATGGAAAAAAAGAGTAGAAACTCACACAGCAGTGGCAGTGATTGTCCCACATCTTCACGGGCAAGTGTGGCCACTTCAAGAATTCTCTTTGCAGTACAGAATAGATTGCAAAAGAGATTCAACACCTAATGTTGTTCTTTCAGTGCCTGTGTTTATCACAGGTTTAAAAAGCCTGGCACTGACCCGTGCCTTCCTTCAGGGTCGAGTCTTTTTAACGGTGTGGGAATCAGTCCATTACAGCTGTTAGCTACTGCTGAAACTCTCCTACATGTCCATCAAAATTCATGTAATCACATTATCACGATATGTATCAAGACTGTACAAACCTATGATTTATTTTTAAAGCAACAAAATTTACTTTCATAGCTGGATGATATAAAAATACACATGGTACTGACACATAAGACTAGTGAGGAAATTGTGATTGTGCAGTTCAGTTAATGAAGGATACATAATTGCAATATTAAGCAAGTACTAATCATAATAATATGACTTTAACCATCTTAACAATTATCAAATAATATTATTAATATTATGATAAAAAAAATTAATGAGTATATTAATTAATGATGTTTTAAGAAAAATGTAGTTGGTTCTATTGTGTGTCCAGGATAATTTATAAATGTATTGTGAGTGATACTTGCAGTTCTGCCACACTGCAATGTCATGTTGAATGTAGCCACAAGGTGGAGACCTATTGATAGGCTGCCATGTTATGACATGCTACTGATTGACAAGATATGGATTAATGTGACCTCTGTTATCTGTAGCACGGCTCTGTGCCACAGATAATAATTATCTGTGGCAAAACGAGTCAAAGTAAAATGTTGTTTAGGGCAAAAGTGTTCTGTTTGGCTCGTATTTCTTTTTACATAATGTTGGTGAAAAAGTAGTTCCTGTCTTCAAATATGTTTTTGTAACTTGGACAGTGTTAAACCTCGTAGAGCCCTCACCCAGAGTGGGCAAGTTATTTAGTCTTTATAAAAAACGACTTCTTCAAAGTCAGACTTGGAAAATCATTAGAAGATTTTGTCAGCTTTGTAACTTAACAAATTATCCACAACACTGCGAAGGCTTCGCTCACCAAGTATCGCCTTTCATGTGGAGGCTGTCACAGAAATATGCAAACTTCACATACATCCTGTGAGATCTAAACACACCGAAGTCCTTAATCAGTCTCTTTATAAACATCCACAGGCCACGGCTAAAAAGACACACTCTTACTTTATTCATGATCACACACGTTGACCAGAATGATGTGGCAAATCTCGTGTTGTGAGCAGACTTTCTGTTGCATTGTGGAGGAAAGGATTACAGCTGTTTTAGCAATGCTACACACACCCGGTAAAATAGCCTTTTCTGCCTTTCTGTTGCAACTGACACCAATTCTGCAGCAAAGGCTGGCCTGTTATTGCACACTTTCCTTTTCTATTGTTTTCCTTTTAAGTTTTCAGAGTTTCCAGGATGTTTATGGGTTATGTTTTTTTCACAGGCTTTTTAAGTAAGCACCTAAGGTGCCTTGCTCTCTGGCTTTTGAGTGGCCGTGAAGTGTTTGTGACAGTTGCTAAGCCAACACCCTCTGTAATGGCTCACCAGAGTACGAACACACATTTACACACATGCTTTCACAGACTCATGAGGCGGGGACTCTGACTGGTTGTATGGATACTGACAGAGGTGTTCAGGTGATGTAGATTATAGTCACCTCTCACTGGAGAGGTGTCACCGAGCACTGCGTGATAAGAGGCAGACTGTCATAGACTAATTGTCTGCGATTGTGTTGATGAAATGCTAAAGTAAAATGCCTGTTCGGAGTGTGAGTCGATGTGTCGAGGAGTTGGAGCCATCTTACAAAAAGGGTCAAAAACCCTCTCCTTTATAATTCAGAAATATTAATACATGGATGGGCATGGGGAGTTTTTGTAATCCAGACACTGATATGCAAGTTACACAGAAGGAGAGAGCTAATACAATCTGTTTAATCTGCCATAGCTGTGCAGGGTTATTTATGTTTAATCAGTTTGAATTTATGTGCCTTCCCAAGGCTAATCATTGTCCGCTAATCCTGTTTATTAGAGCCTACTAAAATAGCATTTATTAGACTAACACTAAAATTCAAGTGTTAATCTTCATTTGAGAACTCTGATGTAGGTGTGCTTATTTTTTTTTTCCCTCCACAAACTCAAACCATGAACCAATTTCATAAATAACTAAACATTTGTTATGTGTAGTTATTTATTTGTTCAACTACTCTCTGCTTTGATGGGAAGTCGCAGAGTGGACAAACTATGCAACATCAGCACTCATCTCTCCCATTACTTTTTAATTTTCATTTGTCGGGCATTGTAAATGCTGACACTGATAGATAAGCAACCGATAATATTGGCCTGTTTTAAACTGTCTCCCCCCCCCCAGTGACTATATAATATGTAAATCTACAGTAAAAAAAAACCCCCAACAACTTTATTTTAAAATACATAGCACATAGTGGTGGGACTCTCAGATTGTTGCACATGAGCACTGAAGCAAAGTGCTTTCCTCCACAAGTCTCATTCACCCAATCACACAAACGTTCATGCAGTGCTTTTAACTATACTTAAGCGCATTTAAACATACACCCTCACACCCCTATGAATGCATCAAATGCAACTTAAAGTTCAGTTGCAATCCACTGACCTTCCGACTAGAGATCACCCACTCACCATCTGGAGCACAGCCACCCCAATTTTAAATCAGTTTTGACAGTTGAAAATTTTAAAAGCATACCGAGCATACATACAGAAATATTCATCAGGACTTCCGAATGGAAAAGTGGTGTGTAATAGAGACCAAGGGTTCCATTACCCTTACCTGTATTTTTATTCGCTTGAGGATTTGTATTTTAAAACCAACATAAAAAAGAAATATATGTATAGTTTGGTGATTCTTTATCAGGTTTGACGTTTCAGTTAGTATTTAAGTGACTGTTTGTGGACAGTGAAGGGACAGAGGGGGACTGGCCATCCTATCTGTGTCACGAAAAAGGACCTGAGTAAACCTAAATTCCTTGCACATGTATTTGTGTGTTAGTAAGTGTCTTAGCAGTGGGCACCTTTTCCTGGTTGCTTCCTTTGCAAGATGTGGAGTGAAAGAGTAAAAGCAGCTCAGTGACCTGCTTATGAGCTCCTGGAGTAAACCAATGGGCCAGGTGGGGGGTGTTTTGGTTAAGGTGTTTCTAATTTATATATAATTGATTGACGTGTATATGTTATTGAATTATTTATAGGACTTTGTATGAATAGAAATATGTCTTCCGTGTGTTGTATTGTGGTTTGATATTTGCTTATGTGGACGTTTGTTTTCTCGTTTGGTTTGCTAACCCCAGACTTGGGTAATTCCCGATGCTCACCTGAATGGGTAGAGTATAAAAGGAAGCCAGTTTAGAGTGGTTGGTTTTTGGTTTGTGTTGGTGTGTAACCAATAATAAAGCCCACCAGTTGATGGATAGATTTTATTCCAGCCTCGTGTCATCTTGTTTGAACCTACACATGACCGTCAGCCGAGCTGACACGGTGTGAAGTTATGAACCTGCATTCAATCCATCTACCTTTCTTCTGTGAGCTCTCTTTCAGTCCTGGTTATATGTAGTTCTCTTCTATTATTATGGTATTGTGCTACAATATGCAGCAATATGGTGCTAAATCAGTGAAGAGGAAGACTATTGCTTATAATAAATTTGAATAATGCTATATTTCAAATGCTTAAATATGGTTTAGCTGAATTTTCCTGAGAAGGAAAGACACTCAGCATATTTATTAGGGTTTAAGGATGCACACATTTTGATGAGCAGCACTTAATGTAAACTTTTAAATTTTCAACAGCATTCCTAAAGGTGCTTTATATTCTGCTATGTTGGAAAGTATTATTGGAGTTGCACAGATGTGCTCTCCAAACTGGTGATCCTTACTCAGCATCGTTGGTGTCGATAGACAGATGACTGAGGGTTCAGATCTGGTCCGTACATTATGAAGAGAAAACAGAGTGGCACATTTCAATTTGCGTTGCAGATCTGCATCATAAGCAGTTCACCAATCTGTGCGTTTATCACCTCAGTGGTGTGTGTTATGGGAGAGCAAGCACCTGCTACTGTCAGGCACCTCCTCGCTCCAAACCCCCAATATGTCCAGCGCTGTATTCGTGTGAGTATCCACTTGTGAATATGGCCCAGATATCTGTTCACAGCTTAAGGCATTACATTTGAGAGATTAAAACAGAAGAGCAGACACTGTGATTTCACAAAAACATTATGTGCCACAAATGAAATGAATATAATGAATAACTATATGCAGGAAAAACAAGTTTGAAAAAGCAATTTGGCATATTGCATACGCTGGCCGCTAATGTAATATTGGGTATGTTGTTGAAGGCAGTGGATGTCATATAGAGCCATGTAAGGCGAGGATGAGCAGTGGGGTAATGCACAATAACCTGCCGCATTAACCTCCAGCCATCCCCTCTTCTCATTTTAATCCAGCAAATTCCATTATTCCCCCTTGCAGGACCATTTGCCTGCATAGGAATCGTACCCTGCTGCCAACCTCCTTTTATTCCTGCTATCAGTGCTTGTATAACCTGCCTGTGTCTTCAGTGTTAATCTACCGCAGCTGGGCCTCAAGCACTTTGAATAAAAACACAGCTCCAAATCCGCCACTTTGAAAAGGCTACTAATTGCACAAAAGAGCGATCATCCCCTCAGATGGGTTTAAAGACTTAAAACAAACAGATTAAAGCACTAGTAAAGTGATAATGCGGGGTTCACTGTAATTTAATGCATAAAAGAGAAAGAAAAGTAGGGCATTGTATGCTTAGAACAATGTGCCATTACATACACCACACACTGCCAGGAACTAATATACTGGCATCACATATAAATGGATGAAGACTAAACCCAGCTGGACACACACACACACACACACACACACACACACACACACACACACACACACACACACACACACACACATTAAAGTGCTTTTCACTGTGGTTAAATTTGCTCTGTAATAAAGACCAGAAATGCAGCAAACTTAAAAATCTACTCTAAGTTCGACTCTATTATTCTTACTGTTTATCTGTAAATGTAATTTCAAGTCTGTGCAAATGTGGTAGAATGAACATGTTTATTCAGTGAAGGCAGATGATGATGGCAGTGAGAAACAGACAAGCTCACTCCCCTTACACATCAACTGTACAACAGTCAAACATATAAACAAACAGCTGCTGGTTATGTAGTTTTTATTTCTCTACTAATTTTTTATGTATTGTGGTGTGTTTTTTTTCAGTAAATAATTGGCTGCACTATATAAGCTGGACTGTTTAACTTTTTAGTACTGAACAGATTGTGTTCATGTACTCAAATGGCTCAAGAAGGCAATCCGAGTGGAAGATGAAGAAAAAAGGAAATAATGATTGCGTTTTTATTATTCTCAAAATGTGTCTCTAACATTGAGTATTAAAAAACCTTTTATAAATTGATGATGTCAGAGTCTTAGGGTTATTTATTTATTTTTTTAATGCATTGGTGTAAATTTTATGCATTTACAATTTGGGTATTTTATTGGCACAAACATCAGAACATTTCGAATGAAACTCAGTCGTACACCTGGGCAGGGATTTTCAAATACTGAGGTTGGGAGTCTCCCCAACAACTCTCTTAGGCTCAGTTTCCCCAGATATGAATTAAGCTGACTTCTAGACCATAACTTCTTTCCATATTCATTGAATTTTTCTTTTAGAGTAGGACTAGGCTTAATCCATGCCTGGGAAGCTGCTGATAAACCTGCTGAAAATTTAGACTTGAAACTAAAACTGGCATTTCCAAATGTTTTGTTTGCCTTTTAATTTATTAAATTAAGTCTGCTATTTCACTCCATGTGGTTCATATTTCTGGGTGGGAAATTACCTAAGATATCATCAAATATTTATGCAACTAAAAGAAATAAAATGCAGGTGAAACAAATTAAATGAAAATGTTAGCCTTGACTTTATTAAGGAAAAACTACAATACACTGCATATTTGTAATGAGAAAATTGAATTACTGCAGTCATTTACACACATTTAAGGGTGTTTTATTAATTTGTGAGCATGACTCGTGGTAGAGTGAAATACTTTATTTATCCTTCCCACTGTCCACTTTTCCTTCTCAAAGTCGGACTGAAGCCTGTTTTGTGGCTACTGGTCTTGCTGCACTAATGACACTGCCATCATTAGATTAAAACCAAATTACAGTTTTGACCATTAAATTTTTCAGTGTGGACAGATTCATTAAAAATGTGATAAGAGTTGCAGACGTAAGTGAAAAAAGAATCATTTGCCATAATTAACATAAAATACAGAACTTTGCATTGAACCCATCGTCTCCATTGTTCCCATTGCCCCCAATGCAAAATGCACAGTTCCCTCCAAAGATGATATAGTAGCTGAAAATTCTGATTTATTTATTTTTTAAAAATTAATTTAATTTTTTTAATATAGTGTAACACAAAATCTTGGCAACGAAGAAGTCATCGGGTGGTTAATTAAGAAAGCCAGTACCTGAAGTAGTGGATGAAAAATGAAATGATGGGAACATAATTTAAAGCATAAATCCAAAAACTGCTAAAGATGACAGACACCGTGGAAATAATAAAGGTTAATGAAACATTCAGCTACGGGTCTCCCATCATTCTATTATGTGCAGTAAATCAGAAATCAAAGATAATTCTGAATTATGTTAAGACGCACTGGCTGTTTCTTATGTATTCTGCTACAGAGGCATTATGGGCTGCTGCCCACTTGGCATTGACCCACATCCCCAACCTCTCCTTGTTGGCTCTGTAAGTGGAGTCAGCTCATTTGTGTTGTGATGCCACTGGGACTTTTATTTTGTGCTTGGTGGATTTTACTTCGTGGTTTGGCTGGAGCTTAACAACCAGACCACCATGTGGATGTTCCCCATCCTCCCTCCCTACCTCACCCTGCCATTTTCTATGAAAAGTAGTTTTACACCGCGAGAAAACGTGTTGTTTTTCTTAGTGTGAACAGATCAGATCATAGGTTTAAAAAAAAAAAAATGACAAGAAATTGTACGCTTTAAAAGAAACGTGTGTTTTGAAACAGTTCCCTACGTGGCCGGACATAAAGATCTTCGAACGGCCTAATACCTAAATACGTTTTGTTTTGGATTTTTTCATCCTGGTCTGTACTACTGAGTAAAAATACCTCTTTTATTGTGCTGATTTGTGAACTTCTCTTACTTTCAAGTCTAATATATGTTTTTTTTTTCAGCTGGCAGGAGAAGCTCAAGAGCTTTTCTCAGTGCGACACGGTCCAGTGCGAGCTGCTCGCATTCTGCCAGCTCCTCATAACAGTGAGTATTTTCAGTACCGTTACTTGAGTATGATATGCACCTACCTGCAGTTAAGCACATATTGCATATTCTTGCTTGAATAATTATACAGTAGTGATGACATGATTATACAGCATTAAAACCATCGCCAGGTGAAGTTGACAACATTTGTTGTCAGTTCTTTTATCGGTGCTGCTGAGAAACATTTCTGCTGAGGAAACACAGAAAAACAAACACAGCAGGTGTCAGTATTTTTCACATCTCTGCTATAAGGGTAGAGATGGGTTCCTTTAGTTATTTTTATAAGGTATTAGCTTGTTGGCAGGATCTTTTGGGTAATGTGCTGTGGGATTTGTATTTTGTGCACAGGCTATTTATGGTGTTTTGCAGTGTGCAGCCCACATTGGCTGGTAGAGGAGGCTGCTACTGTCATGGAGCGTCTTTGCTTTCAAAGGCTGTTTAAGTCTACAACAGTGTTCAGCTGTGTATTACTCATCAAAAGTAACATCTGCATTGATATCAGGACCTTAGGTTTCATAAACACACTGCATGATTGAAATTATGAGATGGTCAATGTTTTCCATCCATCAGTGATTGTAATGCTGTTGATCATTTTGTAGCTTTCTTTATGGTATCAGTGGTATTAAAGTTCCACATCTACATATCTGTGTCAGAAGAAGCTGCATTCAACTGTGAAACACAAGCTTTTATACCTTGTAGTAGATAAAATCTCAGCTCGTGTTGTGCCACCTTCAGATGCTGTCTGAGATTTTTTTTTAACAGTAAATGTCTCTTCTGAAACCACACAGGGATGTGGAGGAAGTTCATTTAAACATTTTTCCTTTGCAAGTCTCCTGAAGTGTCTTTTCAGCATAATTCGGAAATGTCTGTCCTGGAAAAAAAAACTCTGGTTAACTTGATTTCAGCATCCAAGGTCAACACTTAAAATTAAATTTTGGATGGCCTATTGTAATGTAGTTTTGGGTTGTGGGCATTTTAAGTGGTGCTATATCATTAAAATTAAAGAGTGCTCCTTGGTTCCTCATCCTAATGTTGTCGTAAATCTATGATTACTGTTAGCCCACTCTCAGTCAGTAGTCCATATTACTAGTAATGCAGGCATTGGTGTCCTTTTGTCATGAAGAGTTTAGCCAAACAAAGGGTATCCCAAGTGCATTTTGATCAAATTTGAGTTTTGTATTTGCGTTAGTATTATGTCATTAATGTAACACACGGGCCGCGGTAATCTGACAAGGATGATTGCTACAAAATGATGCCACAGAAAATCTTCTTTTAGCAAACATTGAAAAAGAATCATTGTTCATTATTAATGATGATTTTTGGATACCTTTATTTCAGAAAAGTTAGTGAATATTATTTTTTTTTTTTAAAAAGGAAGTAGAAAGAAAAACATTTTCGTCCACTCATCCAATTCAGGGTCTTGAGCTGGAGCCTGACATGGGGCCACAGGCGTGGTACGCCCTGAACAGGTTGCCAGTTTGTTGCAGGGCAACAATAGAAAGCTCGTAGTGCTTAATGTAAAAGCTGAGATCACACAGACCACAGTGGCTGCTTCAACCTGAGATGAACTTTAAGTACAGCAAGGAAACCACATAGAAACTGCAGTCTGGCATCTGAAGCGATCAAACAGCACCTGAATAACACTCTGTAGCTTCACCAAGTGACGTGTGAAATGCTTCCATATCCACCACCTGGATGCATGCACATGCATAATTAGTGCGTTGTAGTGTAAATTCCTCAAGGACAAAAAACAGACTGGCACGCGGAGCCTCCTGCATAGACCCCCTCTCTTACTATCTGATAGGGAGATTTCCGTCACTCACCCTAAAGTTGACTCGCAGATTTGGAAAGTGTAATAGAAGCTTTCAAAATCAGCATTTTGTGATTTACATTACTCACAATTTGCTTTTATGAGTAATGTAGCGTGGTCCAAATGAAAATTACAATGCAGGAGGAAAATGAGAATTTTTGTGAATCAGTATATTGAACAGTACTTTCAGATTCATTTCTTTTTGGAAGGAAACATTTCCCATGATGTTCTGTGAATGCACGTTTGATCTGCTTACCTAATGCTGTTTTATATGACCTGAATTACAAACAACGTTAAAGCATTTCATTTCATTTGTAATGTAAGTGAAATAGTCCCAGTAATGACAAACAAATGTGGCACTGGTTCCACTCATGGAAGGTTGAATGCAGTATTAATTGCAGTTCACATATTCTCAAAGTCATGGTGCAAATGGTCGACTTGTTCCACTGATGAGACTCTTTACAGACATGACGTTTAAATTTAATCCCTGCAGGTGTCAATCGGTTCTGTGAAAGATGGTTTGTGGCTTTTTTTTTTCCGGTGAGAAAATCGTCTTTGTGCTCGCCGTCTATGTTGCAGTCTTTTGGCAGATTTCAACAACACACAATGGCAGCTTTTGAGGAGTGCTGGAAGTGGATAAAAGCAAACCACAGTAATAAGAAGCAGCAGATAGCCCCGACACATGAGGGGAGTAATTCTCTCAGCAGAAAATAAATATGAATTGTACCACTGCAGGGAAGGACACTGATTGTAATCTGTTAGGGTGCAAACAGTGTTGCACTGTGGCGAGCCATTAAAAGGCCAATTGTCTGGGATATGAGGCTGTGGGTGGGTGGACTCGTAAAGCCCTGAAAATAGGTGTTGATTATAATAAGGAAAGGTTCCTCCTTCCTGGAATAGAGAAGGAAAAGCTGGTTTTCCAAAGGAAGTAAACGCGTTTATCCACATCTCGTTTACGAGCTGTGATCTTTTGTTGTTTTGGAAAATGAAGCAATGACTTCTCTGTCTGACAACAAATGAGCATTGAGGAGATACTTTGTGAATGCTCTCTGGTCTTCATGCTAGAGGAAATGCCATGCAGTTTAATATGTAGCCTGATGTTTCGGGCGATGTCATAGTATTATTTAAACATACACTTACTTGTTTCTGTTACTATTCATTGCAATATTAATCAAATCAAAGTTGCTCTATGCATCTTCCCAGAATGTTTTCTTTTTTTAGTTAAATGTGCCATTCACCAAGTCTCCAAGGAGCATATTTATGTTCCGGCTCAATATCTTGACTGATGACAGAAACATGAAAGGAGAGAAGGATCCTGTTGGTAGTGTTAAAGGCTGGTACGGAAGGCACGTTTGCTCTCATGCCATACCACAGGAACTTGGGCTGATTACTGTCAACCCTCAAATTACAGTCCTCTAAAGGGTAACATCTTCTTCAGTCTAAGCACCCCCATCCACTCAGTCCCCTTATCCTTTGCCAAACTTCAAAAATGAGACAATTAGGGAAAATATGGGATCAGAAATACTTAATGCAGCATGATTTCTCTTCATTTTTCACATGCCCACTGGACTTTGCATTTTCAGTAAGATTTCTCCATCATTTTTTAGTTTTGTTAACTTTTTTTTGGAGGAACAAAAATGTTTGGTTTTTTTTTTTTAAATTATTTTACATCAAGCTTCATTTATTCTTTTAGCTCAAATTTACAGTAGAAAATCAGTAGAGACTAGCAAACAAAGTCTTTAAATTAAGTGATTCCATGTTTTGGATGGAAAAAAAAAATCTCCATTTATCAAAAAATATTTTGCAACCATAATTGGATTATGGGGCAACCATAGTAATGTAATCAGCACGTTTCCTGCCATGGTAATAGCCTGCCTGTTGTATGAGGGTGGGGAGTGCTCAAGCCCTCACATGTTTGGTAAAGAATGTCTCTCTTTGTTGTGTGCAGATTCTGCTGTTTCTCATCTGGCTCTTCCTCTGACTCCTCTTCCTCCTCAGGTCCTGTAAAGCTGGACAGTTTTGCTGACAAGAGGCCCCTCCTTGGGGTCTGCAAGAGCACGGGGTCCTCTGGGTGAGTTCAGGCTTCGTTATAAAACTGACATCACTTCCTGTCGGTCACCCATAAACTGCAATGCAAAATAGTGACTTTGCTTCCCCTCTGTTTATAAGTGATGAATTATAGATTCACATCTTTCTGCTATAATGTTGTGCTATTCTGTGCGATAAGTGACTGACAGCTTAACTAGTGGAGGGGCAAAAAATGATGTTCTATAATGTCGTCTTAAACTTAAAGACTAGATGCCCGTTAAGCTCTGTCTTTGCCTAGTAAAGACAGGCATCTACTTTCTAATTAAAAGTGCACTTACTGGAAAGTGAGAAACTAAAGCAACCTGTGTCTCATGGGATTTAGCCGTCCTTTCTTTAAAACCTGCCAATAGTGTTTTACTTTCGGTGATGTTATGAAGGACAACAAATGCTCCATCTGAAAGTCATTTTTAAAAATAAGAGGCATCAAAGGACACCCAACATTTTGTTACGAACCCTTCACATGCAACTTGAGGTGAGCCACCCATGTGGGCTTAGTGACTATTAGTGGCAGTGTGGCTGGAATGCGAGCAGTACCTGAATGCCCCACAGGCTGGGAGAAGGGTGATGGAGCAGATGTGCAGAAGCCTGGGATTGTTAGGGTTAGGCCTGGGAATGTCATGTCTTTGTTTAGTGCAAGAAAACTTACTTCAAAAGTGACAGACCCCGAGGCATCTTGCACTCCCTTCTCTATACCCAGTTTGTGCCCTCCCTTCTTCCCCCCTCTTCCACTTACTTATGCTGCTCTTCCAGAGCAACACAAAATTTAACTCAATATATCCTCCTCAGGAAATGAAATAAGGAAGTCTGTCTTCAGCTGGGTCTCGATGGAGACCACCTTCTTGATGTTTTCCAGGAACTGCCGCCACTGTCTCTCTGACGCCATTGCCATTGCTTCTGCTTTTCCTATGTCCTCACTGACACTGAGACAGGCAGCGTTTTGACGGTTTGGCAAATCACCCAGGCGTCGTTCAACACTAATGCCGAAAACATGTACTGTGTTGAAAAGCAGAAACCCTGACCTCTGGCTGAATGGCACAGCCTGGTCCTTCCCTCTACAGAAGTGCTCGGTAAATAACACTTTGGTCAAAGACAAGAAGGAAAAAAGCTTCCGGGTGCGGCGCTGTACTTTCCATCGGGCCTGTTCATAAACTTACTAAGGTCCTCGCACAATTTTTAGCATATAATCATTTTGAAATAACAGCTTTTGTTAACCACCAAAAAGGATGCCGTCCTGACACTTAAATGGAAAACAGATTGGACTCTTGGCTGCTATAGCAGTGCTGGTTTAGAAGTCGGTTCAGTCAGCTCTAGGCTTAGATTACAAGATTTGCAAATTAAAGGAAAACCAGAGAAGGGAAAAAGCATGTGTGCTAAAGCGCTGTACTTGTGGATTTCCAGCCAGGCACACTCAACATAATTTTATCAATGGAAAGGATTATATGTAAAGTCCAAACAATGTAAGGATCCAGTGATTTTCTTGACAGTAAAGCTACATATGCGTCCCTTTCACTCTGTACCAGTGCCAGAGGGCTTTAGGAATTAGTAAAGACTGCTGGTGCCCTTGCAGACCTTGGTGTGTACGTCTGCTCACATTTCTGGAAAAGATTTAAGTTTCCTTCCCTTTCTAGCTGTTGTTATTATTTTCAGTCGTTTTAATTACATCCACAGGTATTAGTATTCTCAAAGTGATCCTCAGTGAAATTTTATGGGAAAGACCAAGGCGACTTAACTGTTTGCGGGTGTTTGAGTGCACACATATCTTGGGCAAAAGTTCAGTGATGAATAAGTGTGCTTTGTTCTCTGGAGTGACATTTCCAACCTCCATCTACCCCCTCACAACATCTCCACATGCCGAGAGGATGTGGTCCCCTCAATATAGACTTCTTTCACCATCAGAATTAATACTGCACGGGCTATTTCTAGACTCTAGTTAATACACATGGATGAACAGTCACTACTGAGGCCATGGACAGGCTTTTTTGAAGGGTTGTACAGTATGTCAAACAGTAAACAGTGTTCTACATCCTGAATGCCCACCTCAAGCGGCCCTTTTATTATATTGTTTTCTAAAAAGAGCGCCAATTTCAAAAGGCGGATGCATTGCACCACTGCTCGCTCACTCTTGTGCGTCACTGCTGAGTGTTTTTCTTCTAAAAAAAAAAAAAAGCTACACACTAGGCTGTGTAGGTTATTTATTTATATTACAAATAAGTATTTTTATGTGTTGCTGATGGGGCTGAAAATGTCTGGTAGTGATGTTAGAACAACAGAATCATCAGTTCACTTTAAATCTATAATTGTCAGTTGACAGCTAACTTGATTGAGAGATTTTTTTTTTAAATTATTTTGTTTTTTAAATCTATAAAATGGTGTATTTTGTTTTTACTTGATATACAAAAATTAAACATGATAATAATACTTAGACAATAAATGCATTAGTACCTAGAGGCACGACACGGATGGATTTTAGTGCCACTATAGACGTGTCCATGTGTCGTATACATTGCGTGCTTACGCCTTTGAAGGACAGATGGTTAAAAGCTTTCCTAACAAAAAGCCCTTAAATGGCGGGTGAGGTAATCGAAGGAACAACAGTGAGCGTACACCCAAGACGTCAATCAAAGAGACTAGAGTCTGTGTATCACACGTGGTTATTAAAAGTCATTCAAAGTTGTTTTTTTAAAAAAAATTGATGTTATTGTTATTGGTTACAGCTTAATTAGCCAACAGAAGCACTTAGTTAGGGGCTTGGAAAAAAAAAATCATGGTCTGTTTTAGAAGTGACCTTTTCATGACATTAGCCACATGTCCATTTTTATGGTTACCAAGGCAACATTTTCCTCATCTAATATGATCGGTTGATCACATTAGTCTGCTGTTCAGAGACAACGTGCACAACACACATGACCCTAAGTAGTCACCTTCATAAATATGGCTCCTTTTAACCCTATTTAAGCGATTGACCAGTGTTTCCTGTTGAGATTGGGCAAGCAAATAAGCCATGCTTGCACAATAAATGTGAAAAACACATTGACAAATGGATATAGTTTTCATCTTTAAATGTTGAGGCATCAAACTATGCAAATTATCGGTGCAAGCTGATGTGCTTTGATTTCAGTTTCTACTACCTAACTCTAATTTCCCATAAGTCATAAGGTGCTGTTTCGTGGTGCAGTGTTACTTTAAAAACAAACCTAAAAAGCTACACAGAGGGTTGGGTGAAGCGTGCCTCCTCCCACCACTCACACTGACAGTAAGTGCCATGCAAAATCCAAAGTAAATGTACAGCAAACACAATTTCATCCTCCTGCACATTTGCATTTAATCTGCTTTAAATCCTTTAGTGAAATATCACAGGTTATTAACTACATGGTTGGAGGCAACAAATTCCACTTAGCCCACACAAACACTTTTGATGGCAAAAGCCCATTGAAGCACTAAGCACTAAGTGTTTCAGTGCATTTTCATGACAGGTTTTGCTCTGTGCACCGGATGTATCCTTTTTCTAAAGTGTATTAAATGGAAATCGTGAAGCATTTGTATAAAACAAGCCACCAGATTAAGGGATTTGGAGAAGTGATGCTTTTTATCCACCATGAGGTTATGGTATTCTTCACTGTCACACCATGACCATGCGCACAAACGTGCTGTCCAATCTTAGCTGGAGGGTGGATGCTGCCGTGAACGTATTTAATTTGTCCTGCATCAAAATTGCGGTAAAGCTGTATCAATTATGTTCAAGATGATCGGAGTATTTAGACACCGTGTCAGCCCAGAGGACAATCCACAGTCCTCCTTGTGCCCTGGCTGGCAAAATTGGCCTTCAATTTGTGGAAAGGAATGTCATGTTCTCCACTGAGAAAACCATTTTGATCACATTGTTCCCTGACACTTTTGTCATGCTCCTGCGTGGAAATGAGAGTAGCTGTAATCTGTTCTTTCACTTCCCCTTTTTCGTTGCCCCACATGTGGACACACATACGTACTTGTGCAGTGCATAGGCAGAGCTCAGGGGCTCAGGCTTCACTGTGGAACGTTTATTTTGACTTCCATGTCTGCTTTATGTCTGTCGAAAATGTGTTCTGCCTCGCCAGTTTTCCTCCTTCAAATAGGAAGTCAGATTATACTCAGTAGTACTGGAAGTGGTGCATATAAACACAGCCGACAGGCTGAATGATTAGTAATGACTTTTCAAACTTTTACCATAGCTTCATTCTTTAAGCCAGGCCCCTGTGGTCAAAGCAATTAATATTTTATTTTACTAAAGTTTAAACTTTTCCTTTCCTCTAGATTGAAGTATATTGCAATACTATTGTAATTTTCTCCAGATGTTAACTGTTAAGTAACACCCACTGTTGGAGGGCTCGCTATCAGTCTTAGATTAAGGCTTAACTGGGCAAAAATAATCAGATGCCTTTTTATGGCTGTAAGTAATGAAGTTATGAAGTTGGGGAAGTCTCATCTCTACCGATATTTAAAAGAGGTCCAAAAATGACTTTACTTTGAAGCTTCCCTGAGATGTTGGAGGAGACATACTTTCTGATTACATAATCCGATTAGAAGATAACAAAAATTGCATCCATGATAAACATGGGGCTGTAGAGATGGCAATCTCCATCCACCACTTCTGCCCAGGCTTAAATATACTAATAACGACTGAGTGGCATAATCTCTCCAGCATGTCCTTCCCTGCAGCCACCTTCTAGATTACTGTGAAATTTTGTACAGATATTTATGAATCCAATGATTTGGCTATGATTCCCTTTCCTGTACTACTTTTGGTAAGTGGGCATTGCACCAGCCACTATTACATCCCAATTGTGATGCATTTATATGCCTCCAGCAGCTCATTGTCACTCCCTTAACAGGAGTCCTGTGCCTTTATGACTAATAGGGCACACAGGCTTTTCTATTGGTCTATTGATTGCAGAACAACAAAGATTAAAAAGTTAATTATTACTTTTTGAGTTATTGCACTAAATA